CCGGAACCCCCAGGGAAGACAAATCCCATAGACATGCCAGTTTTGGTGTGCTCTCCCTGCTCTCTCTATCCCAGTCTATCCTCCACGTTGACCCACTACCCTTCCCCCCCCCCGCTACCTTTGCGATGTCACTGCTCCTCCGACCACTGGAGTTCAAGCTTCTTCACGCCGACCCACAAAAGAACCACTAAAGAAACGAGGAGAAAAAGAAGGAAAAGGAGAAGGGAGGAGGAGAGGGAGGATGAACAGGAGGAGGAGGAGGAGGAGGAGGAGGAGGAGGAGGAGAAGGAGAAGGAGAAGGAGAAGGAGGAGGAGAAGGAGGAGGAGGAGGAGGAGGAGAAGGAGAAGAAGGAGAAATATCGTTTCTTTTAATTGTTTGTCTTCTTCAAGGGGCTATTTCAATGGGGGGGTTTTCTCTTTCGTTTTCTCTAAATTCACAAAGCATTGAAGTCAATCAGTTGTAAGGTGAATGGATATAGTATATAGTCGTCTTCATTAACATCAAGACTACCATAATACCATACCATAGTCCATAACGTTCTAAATGTAATGAAATGCTGTTTATAGTCAACCCTTCTATATGGTTGTGAATGCTGGGCAATCACTTAAGACAGTGAAAATAAAATAGAAGCTATAGAACTGTGGTTTATGAGACGAATGCCTAGAATATCTTTATTGAACGCATGTTTTGAGAATTTCTGGTTAAAAAAAGTGTTCACTATGAAATTAATTTCTTGTAACTAGTTTAGCCTTTAAAAAAGGTCAGGGGGCTCTCGTGGCCTAGAGGTTAAGGTGTTGGCCTCTCATTCAAAGGTCCCGGGTTCGAATCCAGGTAGCGACCGAAAAATTTTCTTCCCTAAAATTGTCTCCTTTCACCTCCTTTTTTGCTCTCTAGCAATGTTCTGTTGTCTGCTTTCATTTCCACTTTCTGCCCCCGCCCCCTCACCTCCTTTGCCCCCTCCTCTGGGCTCCTGACTCTTTCTGCAGCCTTTCTACTGCTACTCCTTAGCTCCTCCTTACTGCTGTCTTTCTGCCACACCCCTGATCTTCTGGTAGGAAAGATCTACACCTAGCCTTCTCGGACAAGGGCGAAAAATCTCGGAGGGCCGTGTGCAAGTTGTGCACGTTAATAAAGATCCCTTGGTGGTCTAAAATCGATAAGAGTAGGCTTCGGCCGCCACCCGGGCAAAATTCAAAATTTCCTACCAACTGAAAATATTAGGTGTGTCCCGCGCGCTCATATGGCCTATGCAGTTGCGAGCGCCGTAAAACGCTTTACAAAAACAAAACAAAAACAAAAAAAGGTCACAGGTGAGCTGTGACGTAAGCCATATATATAACAACAATAATATGTGTATGAAAAACGTGTGTGAGAAGCTGGAAGAGCTGTGAACAGTTCCATTTTCCGCTTGAAGGAGATTCGTAAATCTATTTAGTATTTTATATAAAATCAAATGAAGAAACATTTTTTTTACGGTAGCCTCAATTGTTGAGGAAAAAATATGATTAAGTTAAGACAAACTGATACAAACTGTTGTGCAAATTAAGGGCGACATTGATTTAACCATTAAAAAGATATTTGAAGATAAGTTGCGCCACGAATTTTTGACCGCCCTCAGCCTGATTATCAAGCTTGTACTAATGGCGTTTTTGTTGAAGTGTTACGCTTCCGGTGCGTTGGTTTTTGCTGTCGATAGAATAGGCCTAGAGAAGGTTATTGGCTGCGCCTCTCCCTCCACTCTCCTCGTCCCTCAGTCCTCAGTCACTCCCAGTCCCACCCAGTCCAGTCAGCTAGTCAGTCATTCTCTCACTCTCAGGGGACAGGGGCAACTGTACTGTGCGTGTGTGCGTTGTCAGTGGAGGAGAATACAGGAATAGTGAGGGAGGTGTGTACTACAAACTACAACGCAACGCATTACAGTGGCCTGTGCCTGCGAACCTTGAACTCAGAGCTCAGCTGTCAAAGAACCTTTCCTTGACAATACACACTACACACACGCGAGGCCTGGTCGTAAGTACACAAAATGACTTGATCAAATCAAGTGTTATTGTAGGCCTAGATCTATATTATGTGGCCTATTATGTTGGCGAGTCTTTACTGTACTCAGACTGTAGGCCTACGTAGGCCTAGGTCTAGATCTAGATCTAGATCTAGATCTTCGTCTAGATTCTAGAGATAATAAATAGAACGAAGTGGTTAAGTACGGCCAGACT